CAATCGCAACCCCAACCACTGCATGGGGCCGGAAGGAGGTAAATCCTAATCTTGACCATGAGATTGTATCTGATGATGACAATATGGATGCGGATGGTTTCGTTTCGGAATATCCAATAATCCGAGTCACAAAGGAGGAAAAGGAGAGACTCCGGCGACCGTGGCGCCAGTCCCTCGTCCTTAAGGTCTTGGGTAGAACAGTTAATTACTCCTATTTGTTCCTGCGAGATTTCGAGACAGAGAGTGAACTTGCACAAGTCTTCTGTTTTCTTCTCAAAAAACACAGATCAGGAGGTCCAGAAAGGAATTGTTGACACCCTTCTCATTCCTAAAGTCACCAACCTAGGAAAATATCTGGGTGTCCAATCCATCCACGGGAGGCTCAAACAAGAGTCATTTGCAGGCATTATTGATAGAATTCATTCGAAGTTGGCGGGGTGGAAAGCTAAGTCCTTGTCCCTAGCTAGAAGGCATGCACTAGCTCAGTCGGTTCTGGCATCAATACCATATTATACTATGCAGACAACACTTATGCTGGCTGGAGTGATTATGACCATAGAGAAAGCTATCCGAAACTTCTTGTGGGGCAGCGAGCACGGTGGCAGAAAAGTGCATCTCATCAATTGGGAAACAGTTACAAGAGGAAAACAACATGGTGGTCTAGGCATTCGAAGACTAGAACAAATGAACAAGGCTTTCATGGCCAAGCTCAGGTGGAGGATCCTTCATGAAGAAGACACTCTTTGGACCAAAATCTTTAAAGCTAAGTATCAACTTTCGCATACAGACGGCAGCCTGTGGCAAGCCAAGAGAAATATGTCAAACGCAATGAAAGGTATCCTAAAATCAATTCCGCTATTGATAAAAGGTATAAGGAGACATGTTGGCAATGGCCGAAACACGTCATTTTGGAATGATGCCTAGATCGAGGATACCCCGCTCTCGGAGATAGCATTAATGGCAGTTTCCCCTGCCGACCTTAGTCGTCTTGTCTGTAGTTACTGGAGCCCACACTTTGGCTGGAAATAGAATGAGCTAAATCATCTATTGCATGTAAGTACGTTAAGCAAGCTAGCACTCTTCTTCATACACGAGGAATCTGTGATGGAGGATAGCATTTCCTAGAGTCTGGAGGCCACTAGGAAATTCTCGGTTGCTTCTGCTTACAATATTGCTCTCAGGGAGTCATCTCCAGTTGAGGCAGCAAAATGGAATAGCATTTGGAAATTAAGAGTTCCTAACCGCATTCGCACATTCCTATGGCTGGTGAAACATGGAAGAATAATGTGCAACAGTAACAGAGCTAAGAGAGGCTTGACAGAGTGTGATAGGTGTGGACTTTGCAATAATTCGGTAGAAGATGTCGAACATGTGCTACGAATTTGCCTGGCAGCAGCAGAAGTATGGAAAAAAGTGGTCGGGCCCTTCCACGACAGAACGGTAGGCTTCAATTTCCTAAGGTGGTTCGAAGAAGGAATCATGGACAGGCACAAGAGAAACGAACCAAGCAGCACTAGTATCATCTTTGCCACAACCTTGTGGTGGATTTGGAAGTGGAGGAACGAAAGAATTTTTAACAGTGAGGTCAAACCACTGCAGTTTAAGATCCCATGCATTTAGACACAAGCTAAGGAAACAGTGCTAGCTTTTAATAGGGCTCTGGGTCACTACCCGGCAGGAAGCTCAAATGGCCGGAAAATACTTGCATGGAAAAAGCCTAAAGAAGGTTATAGCAAGATTAATGTGGTTGGATCGGTGGACCTTTTGACAAGTAAAGCGTTCTGTGGTGGCATTATTCGAGATTACAAGAGCGAATGGAAGCAGGGCTTTGTTTTTAACATGGGCAATTGTACTCCATTCGAAGCAGAGGCCTGGGCACTCTTAAGAGGGATTCAACTAGCCATCCATATGGGCTATAAGAAAGCTGCTTTCGAATCAGACTCGACTATGTTAGTGGACTACATGTTCAGTTCCAGGAAGCCATCAACGGCTGCACACAACATTCTAGAAGGATGCAAGATGGAGCTGCGAAGACTCGAAGCTTGGGATCTTGCTGCTATTCCACGTGAACAGAACCATGCAGCTGATACTCTAGCAAAACTTAGCCGAAATTTCCCAAGGGGCTTTCATGTCCTAGACAATCCTCCTGAGACGTTGCTGGGCATTATGGAAGATGACATTGCTGGAATACCTACTTGGCGTCATGTACATACAGTCTAACTTTTGTAGTTCTTTTTGGGGTCTCCCCCTTCCATAATAAATAAAAAATAAATAAAGCATTATCACTCACAGGGTTACCAGACTTGAAAATTCCATCAAAATAATCTAAACCAATATTCTTCATATCCTCCCCTTCTACACTCCCCATTATCATTCATAAGTTTAAAGATTGTATTCTTTTTCTTACGGTGAGAGGCATACCTGTGGTAAAACTTCGTATTGGCATCCGCATCTTTAAGCCAATGCTGTTTGGCTCGTTGTCTCCAAAAGGTATCTTCCTGGATCTCCATGTAACTTAGAATTTCCTCCAAGCGCTGGAACTCAGCTAGTGAGGCTGGATCCGTGCGCCCTCTCAGATGTAATTGGTCTTTTCGTAGCTGTAAAATTTTCTCACCAAACTTATGATATCGATCCCCTCCCCACCGGACCAAGTGATCTCCACAATGTGCTATGCATTCTTGGACCCCTTCTGACCTTCCTTCTTCCCATGATTTCTCTACCACATCCCTACATCCTTCATTATGTAACCAGGCCAACTCGAAACGAAATCTCCTCCTTCCCTCATTCAATCGACATAGATTATGGGTTTCTAATAAGAGTGCCGAGTGATCAAATGCCCTTGTCAACAAATTAACTACTCTCGCCTCAGGCACAATACTACACTAATCATTTGTTGCTAGAACCTTGTCTAGCCTTTCCTCAATCCAATCTGGCGTCCCTTTGCTCTTCTCCCACGTAAACTAATATCCACTCATAGGCAGTTGAGACAAACCACATTGCTCAATAGTCTCCCCAAATCCGCAAAGGAGATTATTCGGATGTGGGTTACCTCCTCTCTTCTCATACTGGTAAAGAAGCTCATTAAAATCGCCCACCATAACCCATGGAAGCCTAGATTGTGGTGCTAGTGACTTCAACAAATCCCATGCCTCTGTACATCTATTACGTTCTGGAAAGCCATAATAACACTTCATATGCCACTTCGGGAAGCCAGACATAGTCACCTCAATATCAATATAATTTTTAGAAAAACTAATAAGCCTTGCTGTATTATTCTTTCGCCACAACAAAGCTAGACCTCCTTTCAGACGAACACTATCAACATAAAAAGACCATCAAAACCAAGATCGACACGAATACGCTCAGCATGTATTCGGCCTACCTTAGTTTCCATTAGAAAAATAAAATCGGGCTTCTTACGCAACACAAGGTCCTTTACTTCACAAACTGTTCATGAATTTCCCAAGCCACAACAGTTCCAGCTGAGGGTACTCATGATAACGAGCGGACCTGGGAACCAGTACCCGCCAAGGACAAGTTTTTTGGAACAACTTCTGTCATTGAAACATATTTCTCAACCTCACCTACATGCATGATATCCTCCCCTTCTCGCCGTCTTTTCGCCGAAGCCAACACAAGCGGCTTGGGCCCCCGCCGGCCAGGATCCGAGTCCACCGTAGGGCCGGCAGTCGGTCCTCCCGGCAGTACTATAACCACGGTCGCCGCCACTTGCACTGGCTTACCATCCTTATCCAGCAACTACGGCGCCCCTATTTTCCGTGGTCCCCTCCGCTGGCCGGCACACAACTCATCAGAATAGGGATATTTATCTAATGGAATAGCCGCTTCCCGAGCCTTCAAACAATACTTATGCAAGTGTCCCATCATACCACAGAAAAAACAGAAGTTATGCAATCTCTCATACTTAAAGCTTACCCAACAGGTCGTCTTGTCACGTTTCAAGAGTTTCATACGTCGTTTTAGTGGCCTCATAACCGGTATGGAAACCCTAATACGGTAGAAAGACTTCCAGGTTCGCATATGCAAATCGGTCATCAACTTTAATGAAGGTCCCTAGGAAGTTGCCAACCTGCCCAAGTATCACATATGATGTATACCCTAGCGAAAGCTCATGGACCTGAACCCACATATCAACAGTATCAAGTGGTACCGTAACCGGTATCACACCATCCTGAACTTGTTTGCAAACCAGAGTGTGGTTCTTAAACGACTACGGGCCACCATCAAGAACGAGCTGCATATCGGTCTCATGATAAAAAACAAATAAGAATAGGCCAGGCTGTATCTCAGTTACCTGAACCCCTGACTGGCTGCCATACCGAGGCCATGACTTGGCTCATATGTTTCTCCTTGATGATTTTTGAGGTTAGAAACCTCCCAACTGGACGCCATGTCTGTCTAGCCGCTTCCCCGCTGCCATCATCAACCTGCTCGACCGGAGCAAAAACATCATCTTCCTCCTCTAAGGCGATGTCTGTCCACCGTGTCGACAAGCCCTCAACACCACCCATCACCACTGCTGCATCCATATTGCCACTTGTAGCCATAAAGAACTGGCCCCTTGTCGTAGAGAAGAGAACAGAGGAGAGAGAAACCGCCGGAAACCTGAAACCCTTGTCGTCGAAGGATAAAAGCCGAACTCTAGCGTCGTCGTAGGGAGAGAAAGTGCTCAAGTCTTAATTCCCTTAAAATTTTCTATAATATTTAGTTTTGTCTTAATATATAAAATTTATATATTTGGAACTATGTTATATCATTAAATTAAAAATTATATCTAAAAATTATTAAATGTTAAAATAAATAAGTAAGAAAAAGAATTTTATTATGGAAATCTCAAATTCTACTTCTTGATGTGGTAAATATGGATAAGACACTTTTATCTTTCAGGTCTAGAAAATGTTGCCTGCATCCAATATTCGTGTGAGTAAAAGTTTGGAAGTTAAACATATGAATAGTAAAATTGGTGATAAATTTGGGAGAAGGGAGAAGTAAACTTGGTGATAAAAGCCAACACCAACTTCTTCCTCCCTTCTCAGTTCTCACTTTACCTGTTTACTCTTTCAATTCCCAGCAATTTGAAGACTTTGACCTCCAAATTCAACTTTTGTAGCTTTAATTTTGTTTTGGCGATGGCCACCCCAACAATCAATCTTGAATCTTCTTCGGCTTGGGAGTACGATGTGTTCTTGAGCTTCAGAGGTGAGACGCGCAAAGGCTTCACCAATGATCTTTACTGTGCGTTGTGTCGAGCCGGAGTGAGAACATTTAGAGACGACGATGAGCTGAGAAAGGGCGAAGATCTTTCCTCCGAGTTCAAGAGAGCCATCCAAAATTCACGAATCGCCGCGATTGTCCTCTCTCAAGACTATGCCTCGTCTAGATGGTGCCTGGACGAGCTCTTGCAAATCCTAGACTGCAAGGAGAAGAGGAAACAGACAGTTTTTCCTGTGTTTTACGGCGTTGAGGCTTCCCAAGTGCAGAACCAAAGTGGGAACTACGGCGTTGCCCTAGCGAATCACGAACGGCGTTTTGGGGCAAACAAGGTACACACATGGAGAGATGCCGTCACTAAAGTTGGAAATTTATCAGGATTGGATTTGCGAGACGCCGCCGTTGATGGGTAATGCTTTGTTATTCAATTCCTTTTGGATCATATTCAATTGAATAGATATTGGTAAAACTTGTGGATAATGCTTTGCTATTCTGTTTGGATTATATATACTTTTGTGATCAAATTTGGAGAAAAAAAAAAGTGTCAAATAGGTCACTAAATTTATTGCTTTTATGCAATTAGTTCATTCATTGAACTTAGAAAGTATGCAATCATAAAATATGTGCAATCTAGTTCAGATGGCAAGAAATCTAACTTATAACCACACAAGGTCATGAGTTCAAATCCTTGCCCCCTTAGTTTGAAAAATTTACACAAAAGCAATAAGTTTAGTGGTTATTTAACATTTTTTCCTTTTCTTCAATTATATATTACAGTTAATTGTATTTCTAGGTATTTACTTGAAAATTATTGGGTATAAATAACTAACCTTCACTGTAATGCTTTAAAAACTTGCTAGATTACTAGTGTATAAAAATAGTCTATATCAAATTAGCCTGTGATCTAAACATAACATTCACATCAATATTTTCTTTCTTTTAATTTAATCTAGAGGCATGTTATTTTTTACGACTGTGGTTATGTATTCAATTTTCTAAAATATTTCTCTCATTTTCTATCTAAATATTGAAGAAATGAATCCAAGTTCATTAAAACAATCATTGAAAAGGTCCAGTTGGTAGTAGGCCGCCGAGTGCCTATGTTTGTTGCCAAGCATGTGGTAGGACTTGATTCTCAGGTTCAACATGTGGTACAATTAATACTTCGAGAACCAAATGATGGTGTTCGCATGATTGGAATATATGGTATGGGAGGTATTGGAAAAACTACTCTTGCTAAAGCTGTCTACAACAGACTTTTTGGATATTTTGATAGCAGCTGCTTTCTTGAGATAAGATCAGGAATTTCAGAGATAAAATATTTGCAAGAAGAGCTTCTTAGTAAGCTTCTCAAAAGAGAGATCAAAGTTGGTAGTGAAGATGAAGGGATCGTGTTGATCAAACAGTGGCTTCAAGCAAAAAAATGTCTCATTGTCCTCGATAATTTGGAATATATCAATCAATTTAATGCATTATGTGGACAACGAGATTGGTTTGGTGTAGGAAGTAGAATTATTTTAACAACTACAGAGGCACCCGTGCTGAGAATTTTGAAAGACGAAGAACGTTATGAAGCTAAGGTATTGAACCAGAAGGAGTCTTTGCAGCTCTTTAGCCTACATGCATTTGGAGAGCCATCATTACCTAAAGAGGATTATATTGAGCTTTCAGATGACCTAGTGGCTTATTGTGGGGGACTGCCATTAGCTCTTGAAGTGTTAGGGGCCGATTTGTTTGATAAATCGAAGGAAGAATGGATTAGTGCCTTTGAGAAATTGAAGAGAATTCCTCATAATGGTATTCAAGATAGGCTTAAAATCAGATATGATAGACTTCTAGATGATCATACCAAATCTCTTTTTCTTGATCTTGTTTGCTTCCCCTATGAAGTTCCCATAGATATTGCCATTAGCATGTTTGAGGCCATGGGATATTCGGCAAACATTGAAATTCAACACTTGGTTGACAAATGCTTGATAAATAATTACGGTTCTCAAATTAGTATGCATAGCTTAATACGAGAAATGGGAAAGGAAATTATTCGTTTGGAATCACCTGACAAACCAGGTGAACGAAGTAGATTGTGGTGTCTCAATGATATCCATGACGTGCTTGTAGAACACAAGGTAATGAAATTTCTTTTATTTTTCCCTTTAATTTCTTATGCATAATTCTGTCTAGTCTTTGCCATGTTTGTGACGTGTCAACTTGTCTTTGTATCTATGCTCTTTCAAGACACATTATATTGAAGGGGTCCTGTACCTCTCAGTTTTGATTGCTTCACTTTGCCTGTGTGATTAGAGATATATAGTTAAGTCACTAATTATCCTTAATCACTTAAAATTATACAAAGGGATATTACTCTAAAGGGCAAGATCTAGTGCGGCTACTGCTTCCAGTGTGGTCGTGCAACTTTGCACAATTATGTATGCAAAAATGCACTACCACATGTTCAGAAATGCACCAGGGTGTGGTGCATTTCATTTCTCAACATCACTCAATTTGTAAAATGCACCACACCCTGGTGCATTTCTGAATACGTAGTGATGCATTTGTGCATACATAGTGGTGCAAAGTTGCACGACCGCACGGGAAGCAGTAGCCGCATACGAACCAACTACAATGTTACATCTATCTTTAAAAAAGTATATCTCTTGGGATGATTGTTGACTTCCGCAATTGCTAAAATGTGAGTTTGAGTTTATAATTACCACATAGCAAGTGTGATACCAATACTAATTTACTCAGATTTTAAAAGACTAAAATGCTAGTTGAAATTCCTAAATGTTTTTGTAATGAAACTTCATTAGTTAATGTCAAGAAAATCTTGAATTTTCAGTTGATTTCTAGCGAGATTTATTAACACTTCTCATTTAGATCCCTCAATGGAGATCATTTGTACAATAGTTTGTCATTATATTTAGTCACCATGCAAGCTGCTGTGCTTCTTTAACCAATATATCTTCTATGTGTAGGGTACAACAGCGGTTGAGGTTATTTTGCCAAACGCTCCCATGAAAAATATGCGTTATCATACAAAAGCATTTAAGAATATGAAGAAATTAAGATGGCTACAAATTGATCATATCCATCTATATGGAGGCTTCAATTATCTATCCAAGGAGCTCAAAATTTTGCAGTGGAATCACTGCCCTTTGGAATACATTCCATCTGATTTTCATTTTGAGAAGCTTGTAAGTCTGGATATGCGGGGGAGCAACATTAAAAAATTTCAAGCCTCTATAAAGGTAATTTGGTGATATTGATTTTTTTTTTTTTCTTTCAATAATTTGACTTACTAGTTATTTGTCTATACTACAAGTGCTAAGAGAATGAGAACTTCTAATTCAATCTTTTTTCTTTTTCATTTTCTTTGTCCCTTGCCTCTTCCTTGTTTGATTGATTCAAACAGTATTTCCGGTGTCTCAAGTCTCTGGATTTCAGTTTTTCTAAACGTCTCAAAGAGACTCCGAGCTTTGGCGGTGGTGCACAAAATCTCGAGAGTGTATCATTTCGAGCATGCTCGAGTTTGGTAAAGGTGGACTCTTCAATCGGAGAGTTAGAGAGACTAATTCGTTTAGATTTTAGGGACTGTCCAAAGTTGAAGAAACTTCCAAATAGCCTTTGCCAGTTAAGGTCACTGCAGCTACTTGATGTATACAACTGCACAAAACTAAAAGAATTGCCCAAGGAATTGGGAAATTTGATATCCCCTCTTCATAATAGGACAAACTTTTATTGAGGAAGCTGATAACAAGTATCGTATATATATATATAGTGTACATTGGTATTGTCCATTAACTCTTGTGGTCTCTTACAATTGTTATTGCAAATTATGCTGTGCAAATTATGTTATTGCAAGGTGCATACGGTTGCAAAACGGCGCCGTTTTGGTTAAAAAAACGCGCATCCCACTTAAAGAAGAAATCAGGTTCGATTCTCAACAATAGCATTTTTATATATCCAGAAATTCATAACTATATATCCACAAATTCATAACTATATATCCACAATGACTGAATGAAGTAAAAATCCACAATGAATGAATGAATGAATGAAGTAAAAATCCACAATGAATGAACTAAATATCCACAATGATTGAACTAAATATCCACAATGAATGAACGAAATATCCATAAATTCATAACTATATATCCAGAAATTCATAACTATATATCCATAAATTCATAACTATATATCCACAGTGAATGAATGAAGTAAATATCTACAATGAATGAACTAAATATCCACAATGAATGAAATAAATATCCATAAATTCATAACTATATATCCACAATAATGCTATTGTCGAGAATCGAACCTGAATTTTTTTTTTTTAAAGTGAGACGCGCATTTTTAGTCAAAACGATGTCGTTTTGAATCGTATGCACCATGCGCATGGTACATTCGGTTGCACGGCATAACTATTGAATTGTTATACCATGGATCAAAGTTCATATTGCATGCAATCTTTGTCCAAAAATTATATGTTTGCAGTTTACACATTTTGTATCTGCAATTAATAATTTATATACCTGTAAACAAATTGAAAACACCTAATATGATAATTACAAACACATAACATGTTAACTACACATACAAAATATGTTATCTGTAAATACATAAGATGTTAGTTAACATGTTATGTTTTTACAATTAACATATTATGTACCTATAGTAACTTGGAGGGTGTGGTTGAGTGGAAAGAATTCATCCATCCTTAACTAAAGGTCAAAGGTTCAATCCTTGGCTTTGGGAATGGAGCAAAAGAGGTGCCTACAATTCACGAGAGGATTAGTGGCCACTTTGGGTGTACCCAAAAATTTATGTCTGTAATTATTTGTTATTTTTCGACTAGGATCTACAATACCCTAGTCCATGGTATAATTCTGCTGGTCTGTTAGATGCAGGATTTAACATGTTGCTAGATGCATTAATGCTCTTCAATATTTATTATACATACTAGTTCTTTACGCACATTGCGCGATTGGGATAATGCCTAATGATTTTTTATTTTTAATAAGTACTTTAAAGTATATATCAATGCAAGATTATATTGGAATTGTTCATGCATAGATAATTGAATGTTGAATTTGCGTATTTACATATGTAATTCTAAGTTTACAAATGCAAGATAATATAGTCAATATTGATTATAATTGTCAATAAAATAATTGTATAGGTATGGTTGAAACCAAATACGGGACATAAGGGAGAACAAATAAAAATTAGGGCATAAAATATTAAATATATACTAATATTGAAGAGCTAACTGCTGATTACCAAACAAGGACATTGCGAGGTAGTTTTTCACTTCAATTTGTTGTGTGATTTGAATACTCTTTTTGTCAATAAATCCCCCAAGTAGTTAATATGATTGGCTTAATTATAATTTTTTTTTATTTTTTAAAACAATTATTATTATTATTATTATTATTATTATTATTATTATTATTATTATTATTATTATTATTATTATTATTATAAATTATTACTATTATTATTATTATTATTATTATTATTATTATTATTATTATTATTATTATTATTATTATTATTATTATTATTATTATTATTATTATTATATGTACATCCTTAGGTCATTTTACATGTTAATCTAAACAACTAATTTTTTCAAATATCTTTTTACCAACTGTTGATATAATTCGTTGGTCAAATTCGCTAATATAATCCGCTAACTGCTGATTGTCAAACAAGGACATTGCGAGATAGTTCTCACTTCAATTTGTTGTGTGATTTGAATACTCTCTTTGTCAACAAATCCCTCAAGTAGTTAATATTATTGACTTTATTAATTATATATATATTTTTAAAATTTTTCATGGTATTAATAAAATACTTGATAAATAAATATATAGCATTATTTTGTATTATAACTTTGATAGTTTTAATTAAAAAAATAGTGCACAAAAAAAAAATAATAGACAATGTAGTGAATATAATCAATTGATGAATTAGAATGTAAAGAATTTTTACATTGGAGAAAAATAAAGACAATATAACTAATAAAATTATTTCTCTTAATTAATTTATTGATAATGAATATTTTATTTTTAATAAAAACATTGTAGGGACACTGTAGCGAATATAATCAATTGATAAATTTGAATATAAAGAATTTTTATATTGGAGAAAAATAAAGACAATATAACTAATGAAATTATTTCTTATATTTAATTTATTGATAATGAATAATTTTTTTTTGAATAAAGATATTGTAGACACATAATTCTAAATTAAATAAATGCATATGTATTATTTTTTTGTTGTAGCTACTAAATCATTATTTAATTTAATAGAAGTAAAGTAGATCAGAGTACTAATTATGTCAACTTTGATTGGGATGAGGTTCGAACTTAAGACATTTCTAATTGAAATCAATGAGTAAGTTAACGGTGAACTAACAGAAATTAACGGAAAAGATAATATTTAACGGAAAAGTTAACGAATAATCATACTCATTAAGGATAAATTAGTAAATCTTAAGGAAAAATTAAAATCTGATCAATCTGAACCATTCATTTGATTAAAAAATTTGACCGCCATTTTTTCTTCCCATTATAGGCCTAACTCTCTTGGGCTCTTATTAGTATATATATATATACTAGTTTTTTACGCGCATTGCGCGATTGGGATAATGCCCAATGCTTTTTTTTTTTTTTAATAAGTACTTGAAAGTATATTAAGGCAATATTATATTGAAATTGTTCATGCATAGATAATTGAAGGTTGAATTTGCGTATTTAAATAGGTAATTCTTCTCCCAAAGGTTGAGTCCCCAACCCCAAGCCCCCCCCCCCCCCCCCCCCCCCACACTCCGACCCGACAGAGCATTGTGTGAAGTTGTAAATCACGGTGACTCAATGGTTCAGCAGACAGGGCCAAATACTGGTACGCACAAGGAATCTGCCCACTTTGGACATAATTCCTGCATTGCCGGCGCCGAGGTTCAAACCTTGGTCTCTTCTCCTAAATACTGCCCACTAAACCATTGAGCTTAGCCCGTGCGGGTTAAATAGGTAATTTTAAGTTTACAAATGCAAGATAATATAGTCAATATTGATTATAATTGTCAATAAAATAATTGTATAGGTATGGACGTATGGTTGAAACCAAATACGGGACATAAGGGAGAACAAATAAAAATTAGGGCATAAAATATAAAATATATACTAATATTGTTTGAGGAGATTCCGACATTAGGATTTGTGGTTAAGTTCTATTAAGACTTTAATATTAGAATTAGATTAATGGTGTAGTTATAATTCTATATTAGACTTTAATATTAGAATTAGACTAACGGTGAATTAACGGAAAAGTTAAATGGATAATCATATAATTAAGGATGAATTAGAAAATCTTAAAAGAAAAAAATTAAAACCTGAATAATATGAACCATTCATTTGATTTAATAATTTGGCGGTCATTTTTTCTACCCAATGTTAATAATTAAATAAATTCGCTGGTAGCGAATATAATCAATTAATAAATTTGAATATAAAGAATTTTTATATTAAAGAAAAATAAAGACAATATAACTAATAAAATTATTTATCTTATTTAATCTATTGATAATGAATAATTTTTTTTTTTTTGAATAAAGACATTGTGAACACATAATTCTAAATTAAAGAAATGTATATGTATTATTTTTTGTTGTAACTACTAAATTATTATTTATATAATTTAATAAGAGTAAAATAGAGTATTAATTATGCCAACTTTGATTGGGATGAGGTTCGAACCTAAGACCTTTTTTTTTTTAATTAAAATCAATGAGTAAGTTAACGGTGAACTAACGGCAATTCTTAAAATTTTAACGGAATTAGTAACGGTGTGTGGGTATTTTAGGAAATTTTAGTGTAAAATTTAAATCTGATCAATCTTTTAATCAATCTGAGCCATTCATTTGATTAAAATCTGTGACCGCCATTTTTTCTACCCATTATAGGCCTAACTCTCTTGGGCTCTTATTAGTATATATATATAATAATAGTAGATAGATAGTAGATATATATATATATATATAGTAGACATTATATTCCAATATTCTAAGTTGGATTAGGTATCAAGAAGAAGGATGATCAATATTTTTTTAATAACCGTTTAATTTTCACAATTCCAAGAATAATACATTAATCCTATCTTGGATTCTTTGTTTGGGCGATTTGGAATCCTGCCGTCCACCCATGTTTGGTCAATCATTTAGTTGTTAATCTTGTTTAGTATTTAGTATTTCAAATTTGTACTAGTCTTCTTAATGATCTTGAAATATGTTACAATCTTATATATATTATAGAGTTAATGAACGATTTGGTCCCTCAATTATTAGCGAACTGTCAATGTAGTTCATCAATTGCTTATTCATCGATTTGGTCTCCGAAAATAATTATTTTTAGTCGATTTAGTCCCTTAGTCCGTGTTCCATTGACGGCCAGAGAGACTAAATCGACTAAAAATAATTATTTTCGTGGACCAAATCAACGGCCGGAGGGACTAAATCGACTAAAAATAATTGTTTTCGAGGACCAAATCGATGAATAAGCAATTGAGGGACTACATTGACAGTTCGCTAATAATTGAGGGACGAAATCGTTGATTAACTTTATATTATACTTTAAGCTTGGTGGCCCAAATGGACTAGTTCAAAATTTAATAGGCTAGCTCGATAACTTAAGCCATTTATAATTATTCTTTGTTATAGAAGTGATGTAAGTTCATTTTTAATATTTTTTATTAAGTTTTTAAATAAAAATGTAATAATATATTAATAAATTATCACAAAATAAAATATTTTTTTGAAAATAATAATGGAAAAATAAAAAGCTTAATATTAATGTTACTCCCCCGTCTCATTTTACTTGTCTTACTTTCCTTTTTAATCCGTCCTAAAATTTTGTACACTTTCCTAAAATAAACACTATTAAGACTGGTTTTTTCCAAAGTACCCTTGTGACTTTCAAAGCTTTGTATACTTTTAAATTTTCTCGAAAAATGTGCATCTTTCTAGACTTTTCCACATCTTTACTTTTTCAAACAATTATGGGGTTGTTTACCAAAATGGAAAAATGAAAAATTTTTCAAAAAAATAGAGAATTAGAGAAGTGGAAGAATGGAAAATAGAAAACTTGTTTACTAAAATTATCTCTCCAATTGCCTAACTCCACTCCATTCTCCAACTTCATGTACAAATTTGGAGAAACTCATTTTGGACTTCTCCAAATGGAAGAATGGAAAAAGCACGTGTGAACAATGCTTACTGCGTGAGGTCAATTGTTTGATTCCTGTTGGCCGCGCAATAAATTTTGCTTCTTCAGTTTCTTCTTAGCGGCTCAGCACCTCTTCGTCAATTATTTTATTTTATTATTATAAATAACTAGTAGTTGCACACGTGCGATGCACAGTCATATGTATAGTTTATGGAATATACAGTATGTACAAAAGCTTAAGAAATTTAATAAATTAAAAATCCCCACCAAATTGAAAATTGATTAAACATTGTTGAAGACTTCTTTGTACACAACATTTGTTGTCTTACTAAGACATGTTACATCTTCTCCACAAATCAATACTTTTAAACCCGTAGGGTTACTGACTCTTGAAACAGCTACGTACATTTGCCCATGGTTAAAGACTGGTCTTTTTAAATACAATCCCACTCTTGAGAGCGTTTGTCCTTGACTTTTATTTATTGTCATGGCATAAGATAGCATCAAAGGAAATTGCTTTCGTTGGAATTTGAAAAGCAATCTTGGATCTGACGGTGTTAGTAACATCCTTGGAATCAAAACTGTAGTACCTGCATTTGTACCCCCCATTATTTTTGCTTCCAACACATGATCAGCTAACCTTGTTACAATCAATCTTGTACCATTGCACAAGCCAAGAGTGTGATCAATATTTCTCAAGAGCATAACGGGTGACCCAATTTTCAAAGTCAATGCATGATTAGGTACACCAGAACATCGCAGACCATTCAAGAATTCTGGAGTGTGCAATTCCGCTAACATATCTGCATTAGAATCTTACTTGCAAACTGAATCACAACTCAAATAAGTCCTAGCTTCACTTGGATTTTGATCATTCGTGTATTGGTTAATGATATCTACCATATCCAATGTTAGTGCCAATATGGCACTATCCTCAAGGTATGATAAATCACCATTAGCGCTTCTAAACAACGGGAAAATGCTATCAACAATTGTAGAAATAGTATCACCATCACATTTAAGTAGAAACTTATCTGGAATTGTTAACTCTGCGTCACCATCCGTTGAATTTCCAATTTTCTCGTCACCTATATCTGCTATCCAGTTTGCAAACTCTTCAATCTCTTTGGCCTCTATTTGCGATTTTACACGTCTTAGGCGTAAATTTTTTGTTAGCCTAAATACTTTGCATGATCTCCAAAGGTATGATGAATTTATGCTCGATCCAACAATATCTTGCCTTGTGCCCTTTGGAATAACCGGAAGAATTTGTCTAAAATCGCCACCCAAAACAACTGTTTTACCACCAAATGTCATTTCACAGCTTCTTGGATTTGTGAAACGCAATAAATCACGCATAGTTCGGTCTAGGGCTTCAAAGCAGAACTTGTGCATCATTGGAGCTTCATCCCATATTATCAACTTGCTTTGCATAATAAGCTCAGCCAACGGGGTGCCTTGTCTTATGTTGCAAGTGGAATCTTCATTAACAGATATAGGTATTGCGAACCTAGAATGTGCTGTCCGACCACCTGGTAGCAGAAGAGAAGCTATGCCGCTAGATGCAACATTTAGAACAATTTCACCCTTACGTCTTAAAGCGGATGAAAGTGCTCTCCACAAGAAGATCTTACCAGTACCACCATATCCATAAACGAAGAAAAATCCACCAGCTTTGTTTTCAATATCTGTTAACACCTCCTCGTATATTACCTTTTGCTCATCTGTCAGTTGACTAACCAAATCGTTATTCTCTTTCTCCTGAGCAACACGATCATATACCAATTCTTCTTGTATCAACCTATTTGATATTAAATTATATGACTCCAAATCTGCAACTGGCATTTCTGGAAAGTCCTTAAGACTCTTTCCCATTATTGATAACAATTTTTCAATCTCAACCAACGCAAAATTCATCTTCTGATTGTCATTCAACTCAGAATCTGCAGTGATTTGAACCATTAAGTGAATACAAAACCAATGTGTTTTGCTTGAGTACGTTATTCTAAAAACAACTGAAAATAAAATGCAAAATATATAGCCAGAATAACTTGTGTACCTGAATTTTGCAATTGTTTCCAAACTTGATATTCTGCATCTTCAGACAAATGTTGCCACATGGCATACCAAACAGCTTCATGTTTACCTATACAGCTGGTCATTAACAGTGTAACAAATAACCTCCTCAACTTATCTCCAGAAGCCCAATGACTTGCTTCCTCTATTGCGTCTATATATTCTTTGTCATCATCAACTAAGCCTCTAGCATAGCACGCATCGCAGAATGAATCATATTGCACACCATTCACAATCTTTATATCAGCAAAAGATGTAAGACCACGAACTTTATTCAACAAACATCTTAAATAAAAAATTTCACCAGTGCCAGGTGGGACGTAAAAAATCCTTCCTATTGCGAATCCTTTTTTCCTTGGCTGCCATTTTCGTAGTTGTTTCTTCCACACAAATTTCGTTGGCATCTCAGCATAAGTCATCTTTCTTGCCTCTGGAAATGTCTTGTTAGCCTCAAACCATTCCAAGAACATGCTTTGTCCTATAGTTGGTCTATTCACAATGTTGTCAACTGGATCGTCATCGGAAAAAATCACACTTTGTTGATTGGGTAAGTGAAAGCTTAACCTTTCCACTGATGGAGCCCTAAGTTGTATATCAAAGCCAAACAACCGCCATACAGCCTCGCAGGGTGAAATGTACCTACAGTCATAGTACATATTAATCTCATCTACAGATTTTCCAACATCTGAATCATTGCTTGTTTTGTAGAACTCGGTTGTTACCCTGTCGTGTCCCTTATTGACATATTTGAAAAGGTACTTGATTGAACTGGACTGGTTGCACCACTCCACATTTATATGAGCCTTGTATTTAAGCAATAAATGTCTGTTGTGTGGTACAACATACCTGTTGTCCAAGACAATTCCATTTTTTGTTATTGTCCTTCCATTTTCTCGACGTCTATATAAGGGATACCCATCATCATCAAAAGTAGAACATTCCAAAAAATTTTTGGGAAAATGTTTGGAACATCTTCCTTTCACCATACACGGAGAATTCAGTCTAGCTTTTCCGCATGGCCCATGCATCATAAATTCCTCAACAGCTTTGTAGTATTCTACACCCATATTTTCATCAGGTATCTCAGCTGGAATTATTTTGTCTAAAGCTCCAACTTCACTAACTTCATTTCTTTTATCCAAAAAAGAGCAATATATGCGCATGCGAGAGGCCTCTTTTTTGGAACTCAATGGTATATATAACTGTGAAATAAATAATGAATATAATTTAGGAAAAACAATCTTAACAGGATGAAATAGTTTTAAAAAAATTGTACAGGGGTTTACCTCCAGCAACCGATCCAAACAGTTGCTTCTTTCTACAATCGGCTATCAAGGAATCGAGCTTCATCTTAAACAACCTGCAAATTATGTTAGGACGGTCTTCAGCTTTCAAACTACGGTCAGTAAGGAAACGTTGCACCTCAGGCCACTTTGGGTTGCAGGTAAAAGTTATAAATAAATCCGGATATCCAATCCATCTACAAATAGCCATCGCATCGTGGTAGTTTTGTATCATGTACCTTGCTCCGCCAGTGAAACTCGATGGTAAAATTATCCTACACCCCTGATTTGCTAGATTTATTTCACCCCGAGTTAAAGCATCTGTCAACCCACTATATGATTCACAACGTAAGCTTTTTATGTGTGTCCTTATATAGATGAGTCTTCCTGACTCAACCATTGTATATCCGTCAACAACAAATTGTTGGAATAACCTCTTCGCATGTAGTATTGTACTGACAACCTCTTTTCTTGATTGTAAGCGATAACAAAAAAATTCCCTTGGACTAATCCTTTGTCTTCCGCCAGCACCACAGTTGCCCTTTATGTTAGAGAAGGCAATGTCTTCCCTATAACCATCTTCACCATATGGAAACAACAATGGGTATTGAAGTGGCAAGTAGGAAGGGTTTAATTCACTTATTCTTTGTAGCTGGCCGCCCTTAGTTTGAAGGACAATGTCACGCTCACCTATACTGGTATCAAGATCTCCAACTATTAATGCAGCTACTTCAGACACTTCAGGTAAATTGTATGTCCTAGCATCTTTCTTGCGCTTGCCTAGCAATTTTATCTTGACTTCAGCGCAGGGATTTCTATCCATTTCTGACTTAGCCATACGAAATGACTTAACCAAGACATTATTTTGATCCAACTCACCTTGAATGACATTCACTATGTCTATATGAATGTCATCTTGATTACAACCATCACTGCATTAATTATGAAATGAATATACACTTTAAATAATTAGTTTAGACTCAATGATCATAACATAAGTAAGCGAAGATTAGGTTTACCTCACAGCATTGATACGGTTTATTTGTTCATTGTTTGTGTCGTATATGTATAGTTGGGCAAAATGTGGTGGCTTGCCTTCTTGTGGAAGTAAACTTCTCATTAAATGATAGTTTTGTCCATTTAATCAGAATACAGGGGGCCCGCCTCCCTTGTTCACGGTCCTGTCAACCCTACCTCCCATTGATGTGAAGCAAAACATGTTGTTGTATGTCCTGATGTTCTGTAAGAATTTCCTAGATAGTTCACATTTGCCGAAAAAAAGATCGCTGATACCTTTGGGTGGCAAGGGTAATGTGGGCAACTTAATTTTACCATTGTTGCAACACATGGAAAATCGCGGTGCTCCCTTAGTCACGGTTTTGTTCTGTCTCTCCTCAAACCAAAATAACGCACCACAATGGTCACAAGTATTTGTAGCGTCTCCAAAATCACAATATTCAACTGCATTAAAAGGTAATATTATGATGCGGTATTAATATTGCACAACAACTATTAATATTATATTGTGCTACGTACCATTAGAAACCGCAGGTGTGGTAGCAATATCGTTGTTCTGTGATTTTCCGTCAACATTTTTAACCAAACTTGTAGCAGTAATACTTGCTTCTGTAGGCAAGGGAATATTTGATACTTGAAATTTAGATAATTTTTGAATTTTCCAATAATATAATAAATTAGAATAAAGTAGTAAAGGGTTTGGAAAAAAAGTTAACAAAAATAAATAAAAGGCGTAAAGTATCCCTATATTTAACTAATGAAAGCATGTATATAGAAATTAAGGAAATACCGGTTGAACAGATATCTGCTGCTCTAATCGGTGCAGGAAGAGATTCTCCTTCGAACGCTAACAGCAGGTCCCTCTTTAGCTCATGTGGAGGTTTAATAGTACAACAATTTGTACCGTCTAGGATTTTGTTGCATCGACTATTAACATTCGATATGTTCTTGAACGGTTGTCGCGTTGGTACTTTATGTTGTGTGTTACAACCTATTGTCAAAGTTCATAGCAAATGAGCTACAGTATCAACGTAATAAATTAAAACGTACATTTATGACTTTTAAATGCACCTACCAGTTAATATAGATGTTGGTACGGAGGATATTGACTCTTGTAAGTGTCCCAAAATGAAAACCTTTGATTTGTTTGAGCCGAATTTTTGTGTTATGTTCCGCCCACTTAAGTGTACATTGGAAGTACCTTTGTCACACATAGATAAATATTTAAGTTAAACACAATATCGAAATAGACAAATAGATTCAATAACTAAATAACAACTAACTAAAAAAATTATATATGAATATTTGAAATATATGTAAATGTACATCGCTATAATATGTAATAGTTTTACCGTTTGTTATAGTACTTATTGGTGTAATATTTTGAGTAGAACAACATCCAGATGAAAGTCTTCTAGGGATACTTGAAGCATTTTCGTCTCCAACTGGAGGGTTTTCCTTTGTTGGTGAAATTTGTTCAAAATTCTCTGCGATATAGGTAAGTAAAGTTAAGTAATTACACCAACATTACACAACATAAATGTCCAAGTATAATTATCAATGAAAAGCTAATAACATAACTATGATGAATTATTCATGTACCAAGGTCCACCATATGGTGTGCACCTTATATAGAAACTATATTGTTATGTAACGTGTTGTTTCCCTATAAGTACGAAAATTGAATAATTATCAAGATGATTTAGAATTATTTATTAGACTCTTATATTAGTACATTCCATTACAACACAATTTCTAATATTTCTTTGCAAAAATATAATTTATAAAGATGTACGTGAAATTTAAAAGTAATATTGAATAAGACAAAAAATAGAGTTCTATGAATACTTTCATAAACGTATCTAATATATATGGAAGCTTAGAATTGTGTATTATGTGTCAAATAATATTTGACGACATAAGTATTCTATGATATCCACTTTATCCATTACACGACAATTAATTCATTATATCATTGTACTAAACATACTAATAAGTGGTAAAAATAAGGCCCAAGCTAAGTAAAAACACAATACTTACCCAATAGACTTACACTAACCAGCTCCATTAACTCGACCCACAAACCCTTTCCTAAACCCGACCCAAAACCCGGAATATAAATTCGGAGTCCAACCTTCACTTCTACCCTACCCGACCTTTCGCATTCCTTCCGCCTCTCTCGCCTTCGTCAGAGGCAATCGCCTTCCGTAGGTCTCTCTCCCTTTCCTCCTTACATCTCTCACTCTGTCCGAAAGCTTGGTAGCAAGCATGTCGTCGACAGTATCTATGGTGTTTGCGTGAACTCTTTCGGTTATAGCTCGATGGAGTACAAACCCTAAATGTAAACTATACAGCTTTCATCTTCAGTTTGTTTCCTTCGCTTTAGTTTCTCTTTCGAATTACCATCATTGAAATTACTGATTTCCTACTAATATCAGCCGATACAATAGCTTTATCCTATTCTTCGATCTAGGGTTTTGTTCTCTCCTAACCCTAACATGTGTTCGAGACATCAACTGCTCGGCGTGGATGAGTCCGACATCACCGTCCAAAACCAGAAGTCCAGAAACAACATATAAGCTAAGTATATCTATGATTTCTCATAATTTGTCAAGTTTTAGATCTCAGTTTGCGGATTTGAAATGATTCAAATGAATTGCTATGATACATGCTTTCTGTACGTAATTAATAGCTCAAATTATATAGCTAGGTGCATTTAGCCTATGTTTTAGAAGTCACATTTCACGAATTTTTTACCTTCTGTAATTGTTAGATTTAGTGTACTAATAATTGTAAAATAAATTGTTCTTATTTGTCAATTAAATGTGTTTTGCTGGGACAGAAAGTCTGTGATGCATCATTTGAAATAGGATACAGTAAACAATCCAAGTTGTTGACAGTAATGGTAGCAAAAGTCAAGTAAGATTAGAATTTTTGTGTACCTTTTTGTTGTATTGAATGCTTCCTCTTTGTGCCTATGATTGTAGAAGTTGTAATTTGCCTCATTGCTCTGAAAATGGTTTAATTTGCAATATGATATGCTGTGTTTGATATACATGAATTATGAACTGTGTGAATTATAACTATCTTATTTGATGTTGAGTAATTATAGTATGACTCTTCAGTTTTTCTTGAAATTGGTATTGGTGTGTGCCACTTTATGTGCTAATTAAATACATGTATTCCTGATATTGTCAGACCTTATTTTTTCGAATGACATGACTAAATTATTTGTTCCCAGATTCTGGCAAATGATGACTCAAAATTCTGATGCCATTGTTTTGATTAACAATTCATCCTCTCTAATTAGCGTACGTGTGAGTTGTTGTACTTAATCTGTTCCTTAAAAAGGTGGATTCCAAAATTTTCCTAAACTCAGATTTTCTTTTTTCAGATTACTGCCTTGTATACATTTGCTAATATGGCAAATGATGAAATCAAATTCTGATGCCAAATTGTGTTTTGAATGGTTGTTTGTTGTGTCCTATCTTTTTGCAGCATATATTAAGCCCATACACACTATATAAGAATGTATTTTTTTCCACAGATTTTGGGCAGTGATGTAAAAGATATTTGCAGATCATTTTTTTTTCAATGCTGTATAGTATATTTTTAGTCTAGGATTAGTCAACTCATCGGTATATGTAGTTTTTCAAATAATTGATACAGGGTTTCAAGATATAATACTTCATTGCAAACAATAGAGTGATTTGTTTGTTTCAAATTCGATTTATTTCAAATCCACACTACTCATTTGTAAACAGTACATATACAATGGGGATATAACTTTAGAAACCCCTTTCGTTCATTAATTCACCTTACAGTTCAATATTTTTCCAAAAAAAAAAAGAATTAATTTATATACTACAGTGATTTATAATACAAAGTACGCGAGTAATTGAAAACCCCAATTTTTTCATAGTATACTATATAATGGGTCATTTTTACAGCTCCAATTTAACGAAATCATGAAGGGGGTTTTTATTTTTATTTTAGATTAAGTATCAATCTAGAACATCGAACTGTATAATAATACGTATATCTGTCATAGAAAAACCAAACTTTTTAAACAATACATCACAGGCAATTGTGGTTTTACTTCCCTTTCAACTAAAGGAGGATACTATAGATAAATGTGACTTTAAAAAAAAAAAAAAAAAACTGTATGACCGCCATAAAGTTTGTGGCGTTAATTTGTTGCTTGCACCTAAGTATCATTACAGAAAGTCTTATTGTATTATGGAAATATAATTTCATACCAAATAAACACTTTTTTTAACAATAAAGTATACCGTTTAGGGTATACTTATCGATCTAAGTGTATACTATGTATAAGTTTCAACTAAAAAAATAATTTTTTTAAGAATCAAGTAGAGGAAAACTGTTTTTAGTTCCATTTCTGGCCTACTGTTATGAGATTTTAGACATTTGATGCATTTTAATTAAATGAGTTTTAATTTTTTCTAAGTTGTTGTGTTAATTTGGTGTTTGTTTAAGTATCATGCAAGATACTCTAAGTGTATTATACTATGTCTTAAAAAATACAGACTTTTTTTAACAACAAAGTCCACAGTTTTTGATGGATTTAAAATCAAAGGGTGTTTTTTTTTCCTAAGTTGTGGTGTTACTTATCATGAGATTTTAGATATTTGATGCATTTTTTTAAACTGTTTTGTTTTTTTTTTTAAGTTGTGGTGTTAACTTGTTGTTTGTTTAAGTATCATGCAACATACTCTAAGTCTATTATACTATGTCTTAAAAAATACAGACTTTCTTTAACAACAAAGTCCACAGTTTTTGATGGAT